CTCGTCCGTGTCCCCCCTCCCCGATTCGTTGCCAGCTTTCGACAAGCTTTTCCGCCCCTCCGCCCCGTCCGACAGTTTCGCCCTCAGTTGCTCTATCTGCGCGTCTTCCAGCCTCTTCACCTCCTCTTTGCTCTTCGCCTCGGATTTCATCGACGCGTTCCGATACGTCCCGTTCTCCGCGTTTGTTGTTATTATACCGGAATTGTGTGAATTTTCGAAATCCTCCAAAATGGCGGTCTCGTTCGTCACCGATTTCTCCCTACGTTTCACGATCAGTGTGGCGACGTTCCCTTCGCTCGTGCGCACCTTCAACTCTTCGGTCTCGCCGGGAAGGCTTCGCGATACCTTCAGCATCGTTCTGGCGTAGCTCGGTTTCGGTAGATCCGTGGTATCGGCGTTCGAGGCGACCAGTGTCATCGCCGTCAGAATGAACGTTATCTACGATAAGGAAACGAGGTAGAAGAAATTTTATTGCCAGGGGAAGAAACTCTTCTGTGTTTCTTTATTCTCGATTAATTCGATCTCTCATTTTTTTTTACATATTCTTATCGAGACGCTTGGCAATCGCGTTTTACCGAGCGCATACGAATAAAGCGACGCGCGAATTTATTCCGGCAAGGTTTTCGAAAGTCGGTCTCGCGATTTGTGCACGTTCCTCCATGCAAAAAATATCGATTTTATCGCGAATGAAATTTCACGTTTTATACGCGTGGAATCGATTTAAAAAATAAAACGCCTGTTACGAGGTGCGTTGAAAAGACGAGGTTACGGAAGTCCATCCATCGTGGCACACGCAAACTATTTTTGAGCGCGTATGTGCGTTCTATTTAGAGTCTCGTGCAATTGCAAGGATGAAATATCGCGATTCGTGGATTTGGATTTTTTTTAGCCAAGGGATATTCGAAACGTCTTTTTACAGATTTTGGGATGGAATTTCTTTTTAAATGTTCCTTGCTTAGTGCAGAGATTTCGTGGACCAGTTTCGTGATTTCGCTGTTCAAATAGATATGAATGAAAACTTGTAGAAAGTTGAATCTAATAGTGGATAATTGTTAAAATATATCGATATTTATCTTCATGCCAATCATAGGAAAATTTAATAGTTGAAATTACGAGTAAAGTTACTTGGATAATTTATCGCTCGAAACATAATAATAATTATGTTATTAGAGTATTTTAATAAATAATTACTCAAAGTAAGTTTATTCGAAATTTTTAACTAGTTATTTGCCCAACTCTGGATACAGATCGTCGATTTTGAATTAATATACGTGACGAATACCATAGTAGAAATATGCATATTAAAATAGGCGTTCTCTCCAAATTAACCAATCAGAACCGCATTCCTTCCGCGAGATTTCTTTCCACTCAACGAGGAAAATTTAATAGTCAAAGTTACGAATAAAGTTATTTCGATAATTTATCGTTCAAAATGTAAATTACAAAAATAATTGGAAATAATTATAATACCAAATGGATCAATTATATTTATTCGAAATTTTTAATTAGTTAATGTCCAATTTTGGATACAGATCGTCGATTTTGAATTAATATATGTGAATATAATATATAAATGATGAGACAAATTCCTTCTGTGAAACTTCTTTCCATTCAGTGACGAGGAAAATTTAATAGTTGAACTTAAGAATAAAATTGAACTTCTTTTTACTTAATTTATCATCCAAAACATAATAATAATAATTGTGATGGCAAATGATCGATAATTATACTATAAAAGCGAATCAACTATAATAATTAAAATAATTTAATTCGAAATTTTTAACTAGTTACTTATTCCAACTTTAATCGGTCATTAGATTAATAACACTAGAAAATCACTAATCATCCACAGATATCATAGCCAATATTAATGAAATGTTCGAGAGAAACACGAGGAAATTTTATTCTTCTATATTTTTCAATATACAAAAAGTTATTAAATATCAATATTTCGAAGGATATTTCGAAGGATAAACTCGCGAAGCTTAATTATTAAAATTTTCATTTAACAATTCTTTAACAAGTAACGTTATTCGAAATTTTCAGTACTACGCTTTTACAATTATTACAATTATACCAGTTACTTTTTCAACTCTGCTTACGTGCAACGTGGCAACATTGAATATCGAATTTTCAATTTCAACAAGGCTTGGATCGATTCGATTACATTCTTATATATCCCTGTTTCGTTATTGAAAACGAAAGGTTGGAGAATTTTTCGGCTTGGAAGCCGAGGTTTGGTGATGATTTTTTTAGGGTCGCTTTCACTTTTCGTATCGCGTCGTCGGAATACTTTATCGGTGAAACCCGATCGAGAAATTGGTGTGGCAAAACCTTACGAATGATAAAAATCGGTGAAACCGCGGGACCGAGGATGAGGAGGAAGATTTTTATCTCGGATTCCCAGACCCGTTTTGGGGAATTAGCATTGTAAATAACGAGAAGAATATTTAAGAGAAGAAGTTCCACCCCTGACATTTCCAATATTCGTTTAATAAAAACAGGAATCCATTCCTGTTTATATTTTCCATTCCGTTCATCCTTACAATTGGAAATCGAGTAAATATATATATATACATATATATACATATACGTATACATATTATGCCTTATCTCGACACACTCGTGAAACTAAATAACTTTCGAGAGGGATACCTTCTAACCCGTAAAGAAAAAACCCGTTTAATTGCACGGAACAAAAGAGGAATAACGCGCGATACATATTACACACGATGAATCATCGAAGTAACTTTCTCCTCTACGCTTCCTCTTTATTTCCAAGTAAGATCGACCCGTCTAAACCCGTTTAAGGTTTACATCGAGTTGTAGTCTCGCGGAACTGGAACGAAGATTTTCTCTCTCTCTCTCTCTCTCTCTTTAAAATACTTCGGGGACACGGCGAGAAACTCTTTTTTTTATTTTTTCTTCTTTACGTTATAAATCGTAGAGAGTATAATTTTTTTTTGGAAAAAATTAAAATCAACGATTTAAGAAGAAGGAAGGATCGATGTTTACGAATATTCGTTACGACCTTGGGATTAATTATTCCCGCAGGAAGCGTGGCGTAAGGTTTCTCCAAGTCGAGGTATAATAGCCGGCGAGAGAAATTTAATGGCTCGCAGAAATCTCCGGTATTCTTGGCCCGAGATTAGAAAATAGCGATGCAGTAACCCGGCTGACTACTTTCTATTATTAATCCAATGATTATTCATATTTCCAGGGAGCAACGCCAATATTTCCATTGTTCAACATTGCATTGGATTGTTATTTTTATTTCGAGAGGAAGAGAGGAGAAATTTCGATGAAGATTTCGAAGAAGTTATTACTCTACTATATGTACTATATGTTCATGTGTATCTTGTTATTAGAACGGAACGTTTAAAATTTTTCTTTCTTTCTTCTCAGTGAAATAGCGAGTTTATCGACTGATATATTATAACGTATAATTGGAAATCTCGTTTCCTTTTCGAAAGATTCGAAAATTTTTTTCCTCATTAACTTAAAATGAGAAGAGGAAATATTCTCGGTGGAGAGAAAGAGAGAAAAATAAGATTGGACAGAGGGGAGTCTAGTCTCCCGACAAGTGAAATGGAACGACATGCTTTCGCGCAATGCGCACGCGTCAACGACGAGACGATCCACTTTTTCCATTCTGCTGACTTTCCTTCGTCATCCACGCCCGATTACGAGCAACCGCTAATCTTTCTTCGCGAATTCTACTTGAAATACGTTAAGAAATAAAATGTAACCAATTCGACTGTTACACGTTACATTATTATCATTGGATGGATTCGAATGGAAATTAAGATTTTTCGAAACGATTACGTGAGAATTTTTCTTCCAACGTTAATTGCGTGGTAACAAAATAAAACGACGATTAATCGAAAGGAAACGCGCAGCTGATTTAAAAATCTTCGTATCTTCCTTCCGTTAAATTCCGTAATTATACTCTTCGCTTTCGAAACTTGCAGGATACGTGGAAATATCTGTGAAGGATGAATATTTCGCTGTGGAAACCGTGGATGTATAATTGTTAATGTTTCCAAGAAAAAACAAGTGACGAATTATTGTACCTGGAAAAAAGCGGAGAGGATAATTGATGCGTGAAAAAATTCCTGCATTACCGAGCTCACGGGAACATGAAAATTGCAACCAGTTCGGCTAACGAACGACGCGCGATTAATTTCGTTCGTTGAATGGTGGCCCCGATCCATCGGTGTCGCCATCGTTTTTTCCGCCCCAGAAAACCGGTGGATCGTGCATTCGTTTTCTCTCTCTCTCTCTCTCTCTCTTTCTCTCTGCTAATTAACGATCATTCTTTTGTCTCTCAACTTTTGTCACTGAGACGTGAAATGGCCGAGTCGGGGAATAATAAACCGCAATGTGGGCGTTACGAGACGCATAATGGAAAAAGGAATCAGTGCGTGAGAAATCGACTTCCGACTGATTCTTCCAACCACTTCCAAACTCCGAATTTTCCAACTAATCCACCGATACGAAATTTTCGTTTGAGATAATAGGAAGTAAATGAAGAATGAGAATGAAAAAAAAAAATGTTATATAAATACCTTGAATATGTCCATATTTCGATAACTTCAGTGTAGTTAACTTCGATCCAGTGTCGATCCAGAGTGGTCGATCGAAGATTCGGCTCGGTGTCCAGTCACGATAACGAGGTAACAAAAGAGACAGAAAATATCACAAATATATATATATATATATTTTATGTATATATAATAGAATAGTCGATCAGATCTTCATGATAGGAGAAGAGAGACGCGCGTCGTCGAACGTGCGGATGGAAGGCG